CATCTCGCCGGTACATCGTCCACGTTTCGCTGCCGTATAGAAGAACGGACAGCACCATGGATGTGTACACCATCAGCTTCGTGCCGACAGTAAGCTGGTGGTTGTTCCACACTCGGTACTCAAGCTTCCCGAATGCCGCCGCTGCCTTCGAGACGCGGATACGAAGCTCACTGTGTATCTGCTGATCAGTCGACATCACACTCCCAAGGTAGCTGAAGCGGGAGGTGGTTTCCAATACTTCAGCACCAATGCTGATTTGCGGCAATGTAGAAGATTGCACCTCCGGTGAAGGCTGAAAGGGACAGATAGTTTTGCTTGTGTTGATGGTGAGCTCGAATTTGACCGCCGTCGAAGCCAGACCACTAGTCATGTGCTGCAATTCATCCCCGCTGTGCACATACAACGCACAGCCACAATACGGATAGTTGTCTCACAGACTAGGGTTATCACACCGAAACGACAGAGGTTCAGCAACCCACCATCATTCCGGTGCTCAACACGAACTCCGTAAGCACAAGCCGCATCAAAAGCACAGGACAACATTGCATGAAGATATATATTAAATAGGGCAGGAACTAAGACACCTTGCTTCACACCAGAGACAACTGCAAAGTCATCCGAGGTCTCTCCACTCAGCTGCACCCTCGCTCGCATACCACTGTGCAGACATTTATTTAAACTTACAAACTTCATCAGACAGCCACACTTACCCAACGCCGACCACCATGCCTCGCGGTTCACCATATCAAATACCTTGATGATATCAACAAAAAGCGAGTACAAGGGCTGCAACTGACGAGCTGCAAACACCACATCGCCCATCCTGCGATTCGAACGAAATCCACAGTGCTCTTCCGCCACGTTAGGTTCCACAACCTGACTGATGAGGCGGTTGAGCAGGATTCGGGCAATCACCTTGCCAACATAACTCAGCAAATTGGTACCACGATCATTCGCGGCACATCGCTTGCTTCCTTTACTCTTAAACAGTATTAGCATAACGACACCTCCTCAATCCACACTCGTTGCACCAAGTGCTGCAGCGCATCCACCAACGCGAGTCCGCCGTGTTTCAATACTCTTGACGGGATCCCGTCGGCACCGGCACGCCGTTTCGCAGCTTAAGTGTTCCCTACTTCTTATCCAGTGTCGGTGTGTCCGCTGAACTCACCTTCACATTGTGCTGCTTAAGGCCGTTCGAAGTAGGCCAGTCTATCCCTGAACGGTTGTTCAAGAGACAGTCAAAGTGCGATCTGCATTATGTCTGCAGTCTGTGTGCAGGTAGCGCCTGAACTACCATCGAGTAGCATCCTCTGCGGCTTTAAACTCTGTCCTTCAAGTAGTCAAATAACTCCTTGTGTTGGCGGCGTTCGGCATAGGATTCCATCTGCTTCGCCTTCTTAGTCCACCATACAATCTTGATACGACGGAGCTCTCGAGTCAGTCACCGTCGAATTCTGCGAAACTCGCTCTTCTTCCCCAAGTCACTGGGGTCTGCCACATGTGCAGCAAATGCTGCATTTTTCTCAGACACCAATGCGCCAATCGTCGCATTGTTGTCAGTAAACTATTCGCGACGCGTGCAGTTTGCGCGCCCGATGGTCTCCTCGGCAGCAGCTGTCACCTGGTGGCGAATGTGATGCCACATGTCGCCCACTGTGGCTATGCGGTACACATCACACAGGCGTACAGCCATCGCCTTCTGCAGCTCAATACGCTTCTCCACAGTACCAAGAGAGATGTTGTTAAATTTACGCCGGTTCACGGCGGGAGTGTAATACATAGATTTACGAAATTTTATGTGCAGTTTGGTTCGCACCAATTTGTGATCAGTGCCACACTCAGCTCCACGCAGTACACGTGTCATGCGCACTTCACGCCTATCACGCTGACATACGATGACATAGTCGAGCAGGTGAGTGTGACCACTCCGTGGGTGCGTCCAAGTTGCTATATCACTCGCACTCGGTGCAAACCGAGTGTTCGTGATCGTCAGGCTGTGAGTGGCACACAGGGAGAGTAGCCTGTCAGCGTTCGCATTCGCTGAACCAATGCCGTGCGAACCGATAACATCTGTCCACACCGATGCATCACGCCCAACGCGCGCGTTGAAATCACCCAGCAGAAATAGTCGGTCGCTCCTCGGCACAGATCGATAGCTGAGTGTATAATTCATCACGCGTGTCATCAGGATAACACATGGTTGAACCGTACGTGTTTGGAAAGTGGAAAACTTACCACTTCCGAGTCGTAGGCGAATAGTCATCAGTCGCACGCTGATGCCAATCGGTTCACGCACAAGCTGGCCATTGAGGCGATCAGTTAGTGCAAATCCGATCCCATGATCACGTGGTGCTGAGATGCCGTTTCCCACCCAGTAGAATGTGTAGCCAGCACCTGCTTCATGCAACTTACCTTGCTCAGCGAGCCGGGTTTCACTGAGCGCCGCAATATCTATGTGGTAGCCCGCCGGTTCCATCGCGACCAGTGCAGTGCGTCGCTTGGGGCGCTCACTCGAGTTCCGGTCCAGTAGTGTGCGCACGTTCCATCACCCGATGTTGAGTACTTTGCGCGCAGGTATACGATTGTGCTGGTGGGCAATCGCGCTCGTGGTTCTGGTTGTCCTTCGGGGGGTTTGCTTGAGGGACTCCGCCCGGAGCCTTTGGCTCAATAGCCTGGCCCACAATGCAGTGTGGAACTGATCCAGCTCGGGAGTGTGATTGCAGAGACATACTGTGATCTGCTTGAGGTGCGTCACACGCAGCCATGAAAGATCCGGAACAATTCATATGTGTATTGCTACCGTATTAGAATACACACCTGTGACCACGGCGAGACGCAAGAGGGTTTCGGCGGGTCTGCACCAATTTATCAGGGGCTGCCTGGCTGGTGGTTGGTGGTAGTAAACCACTGAGCTCCTGGAGATGCCCTCCCACTGTCAGAGACAATACGTGGCGCTTGTGTTCTATGCCAATAGAACTTTGAGCTTACAGTCCGTGGACCTGTTATCTCCCATGACTAGGTTTTAAGGAAAGATGGGGCTTGGACTAGGATACTGTCGGGGCGCTCACACCTGGCAGGAGAACGACTCGGGTCCTCAGCCAAAACCTTTGATTGAATGTACACCCGAAAGGCAACGGGTCTAGCAACTCGTGGTCAATATTTTCAGTTGGTGGTTCTGTCTGCTCTCCTGATTACAGACAGTCATCCATCGTTACCGTGGTTTCGTAATGTGCGAAGTGACAGTTGGACATCGTAATTGGATAGGGCACAAAAACCACCTTCGTCCACACCAATGTCACAGCTACTGATGATGAAAAAGTGCCGTTTGAAATACTGTTAGACGCGTTCGGACTCTCCCAAGCCAACTGAAGGAGGTACCACGTACACCTTCGGGTCGAATCTCACTACAACTCAGAAGATGCACTGAGCGGAAACGTCGTCCAGCCATATCTTTGAGGCTCGATCCACGTCGTTCAAAGTACGACTCCAGATTTCCTAAGAATAACACTGGAAACAAGCCAAATTTGATTTACTAATAGCCGTCAATTTCATTTACAAATTTCGTCCCCGTCTCTGACCCGGACCGTGATTGTCAAATCTTAGAAGTCTGTTGGTAGACTTAACTATCCCCTAGTGTTTCATCGGTGACGCCTGTGTTATAGTCATACTCGATCTCGTTCGTACTTGTCTTCTACCTTCTTGGGGTTGGAGCTATCGATTAGAATTCGAATCTCTCTTCCATCTGTGAGGTGTGTTCTTGTGTGACCTTACTATGCTTGCGTGTGTTCGTACTGAATTACTACAGCAGTTGTTGCATGTTAACACCGATCGAGAAGTACCGAACTTTTGATTTGGTTACAAACTTCTGAAGCAAAGGACGTGACTGTCGCATGTCTTTCTCACAAACTAGTTTTCTCTATCGAAATACCACCTCTTTGTATGGTTGAGACCGCAGCTTTACCTGTGCATCCAATGTAGGCAGTAGTAGTATGAAGCCGATTCCTGAGTTGTTCGTACAGCTATTCGATTGCGATACCGGGTGGGTACAAATCTTAGAGAACAAACAGCTTCTTACCCAGAAGACAACTACTTACGCAGAAAATCGCCATTGCTAGTGGCGTATTCACTCGCATAGTGAAAGCGATCGAAATGGAACAGACTAGGTTCCCAGAGTTCGTGTGGCACTTTCCGAAATGGTTTACTCACATCGGGCGACAATACCCTGCATGAACGATGCATTACTGTCTCTTGTAGATAGCAATTTAGTACTGTTGGTTATCATCCACTAATTTGAAACCTGCCTCATTTGACGCCAGTTAAATAGGAGATACGATGCAGTTGGTTGCAGTGTTTTATATACCTAAATCCCTAAACTGATGGGACACTAGAGTAGAAGACACTGAATCCTCTCATACTCTATCGTGGGTTTTCGGAATCCGTATCCGGAGTTGCCTGTCACTTTGGCCTCCCCAGCAAGCCTGTGCCTACTGAGGGCCCATGGGTGGCTTGCGCTGCACCACCCACAGTTCCACCCACACACACCCCATATCCGGTGTTAACCCGAAGGAATAAGACCGGGAGGTATTTGGATGAGAGCCACGTTTCATCAACGGAGCCGGACTACACTTCTTCAACAAGCAGAACAAAAGCATTCCGGCCCAAGTAGGGAATCATATGTACCAGGCATACACAACGCGGTGGATGGGCCGTAGCCCGTTCCACACAGGATGGAACCACTCTTTGAACCTAGCATCGTCACGAGGACGGTGCGATTAAAGTATGCTACCTTACCTGTTTTTTTATTTACAGTATGTCTCGACCGCGATCGTGTAGAAATCTTCACATGGTTTACTCACGGTGATTGAGGCACTGTGTACTGAGGTGGACCCCTTGGGTGTTGCCTGTACGGTAAGAACGGAGGAATGCAAAACCGAAGAACTCTTTGCTAGACATTCACATACTGTTGTAGTGTATTTGTTTTCTTCCCCCATCTTTAGTTTATCAAAATGGATGAGTTGCTACAAGAAGAGCAGAGGCTGCACCAATCAATGTCTCAGCGCGGAGGTATTCTGGGACTCTTGCTCCATCGCACAACTGATCACAACCCTTCGGTGCAAGTGGTAATACCTTCGAAATCAGGGAATCAGCTCTACAGACGGACAACTATGTGATCTCTACTATTACTTGAGACTGCTTTTCTCACAATGCAAAATCCGCCAGATATCGGAACATTCTTCCTGACACTGGACTTGTCATAACCCCTGCCCCCTTGTTCATAATTTGTACTGAGAACCTTTTAACACCACCGTGTGTATGTTTCACTCCTGTCTGTAATGCAACCGAGGTAAAATGTGCCACAGTGATGGACGTGTGCCTGAGCCTAGCTGTTTCACACAAGTCAACTCACTTAACACAAGACGCCTACACTAGGAAAGTGACAGACCGTACGCTCCTTTCTGACATTCGCGGTTCACGCTCGTCTGTGGTGGTTTTTATTCACCAAGTCATGCAATCAGTTTCTGCTGTCATAATAGCTGAAAATATGCTAGCGAGCTTTAGTGGGATGTTTAGTCTATGCAGCGTCATCGGAGAAATAGAGCAGTTGAGCTAGTCTGTGGGGTGCCAATTCCATTGTGAGAAAAATACACTAAGAATTTAGCTTAGCGAAACGGTTAACTCATTGCTATTCGGTAGGAGTAATGTGATGAATCAAGAAAGCAACAAGAAAACAGCGCGTCGGCACCCCGTACTGGTTCTTTACTGCCACAGATCCATAAATACCGTAGGAATAATCATGAGAATGGGAACATTGTCTAAAACATAGAGGTCCTGAGCAATGTCCAGAATCAAGGCTTCTGCAATTTGTTAACAAGTCACGGTCACAAACATCCGGCTATCATGCGAATATTTGACATCGGTGAGACAAATTCTTCACTGCTTTCATTACCACGCGTCATAGTTCTCTATTCACTGATAGCTCAACATCCGAAGACAATAAACGCACATCACTGTGCCGAGTACTGGCCATGCTCTGCGTTCCCTTGGTGAATTGCGTGGATCTCAGTCTAGGTAACATGGGCCAACAACCATGATCGTGGCCATCTGCATCATTTCCTGCTACCAGATGCGTGACTGCCTTCCTCTAGCCTCAAATAATTCTAAGTCAGATAAAAACTGGATCCTCTTTGGCAAACGGCGAGCGACCAGATGTAATCCACGTCACAATCAGCGTAACTTATTCTGTTTGATTTATTGATCTAACCATTGCCCGGCATTTACCTGGACGCATCATCGCCATGGATGAGCTAGTGACACTAAACACCAGCAATGCCTCCCAGGTAACAGTGGTGAAACGCTTGCAGGCACCCCAGATTGTCAGATCCAACGGGCTAAGTCTCGCTTTCCTAAAGAAGAACCGCCCCCAATTTGTTCCCACGAGCACGACCTATAAAAGAAACAGAAATCACTTGACCCTAAAGGTGCTGCAGGTTCAAGTATGTAGCCCTTTAAACTTAGCGTCTTCCGGTAGCGACCGTCTATAAACCCAACTAGGTAAACTGCCTTAACCATCAGATAACGTCAATGTAATCATCAATACGCGCTAGCTGAAGGAGAGAAACGAACCTCAGCTAATGTACCGAAACGTTCAGATAACGCGGTTCCTCTGTTGATTACCACTCGTCTTAAAATATTTCCCTGATTTCCATCACGCCATAGTAGGCCGGTGATTTTGATTTAGCCTCACAAAGAAGCATATCAAACGTTTCTATCGGTTGGCACCCGAGAATCTGTCTGCTTGATGAAACGAGAACGGTGGGACAGGGTTTCAGCTACCATACGTGGTGCATAAGCTTAGCTTTTCAGCACTATCGGTCCTCAGCTTGTCGGGTATTAGGTATCAGAAATGCTGATGAGCCTGCTGGAATCCAGAAAAATCACTGCTAACAACGAACAGTACTACTACTACTATTCCTACTGCTACTACTACTACAATAGAAAGTTTGCATCGTTTATGGCTGCGTCATCCACAATGCAGTGAGAATCACCACCACAGGAACAATTAAAATAATTAAAATCCGTCCGTATAGCTTCTAAGTGCTGTGTCGTACACTGTCCCTATGCGGAAAGTTCTAGAGCCAACCTCTGTCCTCTGCACAGTTCGTAGTCAACTGTCAGTGATGCAGGCTTGCGGCCGTCACCCACGACTTAGTGGCCAAAACTACTGGCATCCGAAAGTCAGAGTCGGAACCCGGCAGGGGTCTGAGGAAGGCGCACCACTGACGAGACCCCGAAGGTCGAAACAACTGTGGTGTTTTTCCAGACGTGTCGAAGCCTGCTGACGAAGAGGGGACTGCGACGCACTACCTCGAAAATTACACCCAAATATAAGTTGTAGTACCAAATAAATAAATGCTTTATTTCCGGCAGTGCGGGGCACGCCTGCGAAGGCATCATCACGATAATACAAACAGGCATGATTGGTAATTGTATAGAAATATAGCAAGTTAACCAGTAACGTACTGGATTTGGGTGTCTGTATATATGTAAGTGTAGTATTAGTGGACACAGTAAGTGAACTTTCGAAATGTGGCTGCATAAGTTTGTTTGCTGTGTTCGCCATCGTATGAAGGGATCAAAAAAGCTATTCGAACTGGATGACGTTCGTGAAGTGGGGATCCTCCGGAAGGGAAGAGGCAGTGACTTTATTTAGTGGCGAGTCACATCCGCCACGTCGCCCTGTTGTTAAACGGGCCTTTGTGATTTTATATAGGGAGAACGCTTGCCAGACGAAAATCCACTACTTTCTGGAACACTGCCGCCGAACTATTCGCAGGGACGGGATTAACCCGAACCACTTAGCTGGCACCACGTGTTGTTTGGCTAGCCAGAAAGTCGTACATCGTGTACTGCTGCGTCATTCACATTGCAGGAACAATTAAAAGAGTTTATCACTCAAGCGGGGGATGGATTCGTCACTTTAGCTTGAAATATGGATCAATGATACTGGCGACGCAAGGTGAACTTACTCAAGATAGTAATCTCAGCAGAAGATCTGAAAACTATTTTGCTACAACAGCAGCACTTAGAGACTGCACAGCTGCGAATGACCAAGACCCTCACAAGAACACTGTAGCATCAGGTTATAGCTATCTATACAGAACATGTATGGACGCTCCTTCATCTCCAGCAGTTCATTGACAGGGTTGCTGATACAGAAATTGAACATTCAAGCAGAATGTGAACTGGAACGAGCTGACATCAGAGGACATTGCAGCTCAACTTGGGATTAGACACTAAAAAGTGTGAAAATTCAAGTACCACATGTGGACTCCAGATCCGCTACAAAGCTAATGGAGGCCAGGCCGTGAATCAAAATGTGCAGAATCAGAAGCCCCTCACTGCGATTATTGCCGCATTCCGCAGGGGTCGAAGCGCATCAAAAGGCCCTGGTCACTGGACGGAGAAATCGCCTGCGAATCGAAATTCTAGGGTCTGAAACTCTGTGCAACTGTCCAGATGCACAAACCAGCAGCCCCCAAGAACAGTGGGCATTGAGCGCCTGCGAGAGAAGTATACAGCAATCTTTCGGGAAGGCCTTGGTAAGTTCACGAATGTACAAGTTTCACTGTTCCTTAAGCCCGATGCCGTTCCAGTGTTTCGCACGAGACGCCCAATGCCTTACGTAGCAACACCAATGGTTGACCAGGAGATTGATCGCTTAGAGGGAATAGGTGTTCTCCACCGGCTGAACCGCTCACTTTGGGACCCAGGAGGGACATAATGAGCTTTGACCAGTGGCCACAAAAAGGAACGAACTGGCAACCACGGTAATAGACTGATCGGGTATGGAGAACCGTCAACAGAAGTCGTAAGCCCATTTGCGCGAGGGAGATGTTACGGAGAGCCGGCCTACGGTCTGCGTACAAGCCGAGAACCGTAGCGCAACATTTGATCGATCTACAATTGGAGATCGAACTCGAGTAGAGATCAAGACGCGAATCTGTGTGAGATCAGCGGCAAGTTGGACCATGAACTTTAACCGTTTGAGTTGTGTTGACATCTCTAATTGTTGTGTTAGTAGTTACCTACAACATATTTATTGCGCCATGCTCTCATTCAGGAATAATCCCTCGGTCCGGTTGGTCTTGGCGTTCTCACTTCATTGCGGGTTGAACTGGTTGGGGGCGGCACAAATGACTCAGGCAGGTTATCCGTACGTTCAGCGGCAAACCACAACATGTATCCCCAGAGAACCGGTCTTTGAGAGAACAGCTCAGTAGTTGACTGACGCACAAAATGCGCTGGATTCAATCGCCACTACTCGCATCGCTAGTGTGAAGATGAGGCAGAACGAAAATAGTGTGTAAAAATCTAATCGGGTTGGAATTGCATTAAACTAATCGGAGTGGAATGAAAATTAATAGATGGACGCAAGAAAAGCAATGCATAGACGACGCTGATTGCGCCATGTTCGACAGTTCGATAGTCTCCAGGCACTGATGTGGACACTCCCGAGGCCTTCATCCATCGAGGCGGCACGAAGTAACCTGGCCAATTCTTTCAGTCAATTTCTCCAGGTCTTTATGCCATGTCACGAACTGGCCACCTCGCGATTTCGCCCAACTTGATCCAGCTACTGCGTGTAACACAAGCCGAGGAAGCCAGTCGATGGGCATACAGAGGACATGACTATGGCATCCTCACGGCCACGGTACTGAGCTCTTCCTAATTGTTGCCTGCAGCTGCTGGCGGGTGTCAGTAACGGATTCACCCGCGCGTCGATTGGCCTAATTTAGGATAGTGGATTGATGCGTTGTGCAATATGTTGGTTAAAATACAGTTTTGGTTTGCGAAACTTTGGCTAAGAGCCAGCGACTGAGTTAGTTCTACAAATGCTTAGCTGTGACATTTGGCGACGAAGGTTAAACTTAGAAGGACACGTCATCCAAGCCATCCTTAGCAATTTGGAATCGTTGGAAATGAACCTGTGACTACCTTCTCACAATTACGCACCCCCACATCAAACTTAGTGAAACCCACTCTATCAGATTACTGAACACCTCGGTGCATAAGGTCAACGGCATTTGTACGAAAGCACCTCCCTGACGGACTGCTTTAATGCCCTGGATGGCCTTTGTTGACCGCGACATGTTTTTACGGCGCGCTTGTTTATCTCAATTAGGACATGGAGTAGGGGAAAGTGTTAATGAATTCATCAGTCGTATACAACAGTCCCTTCCTGATTGCCGTTACATAGAAATTCCTGCAACGCACTTCGAAGAGTCCCTGGCGGTGCAATGCCTTTTGGTTCATATTCGAGACAGTAAAGCTAGGAGTACGTCTGCTGTCAGAAGAGCAGAATAAACTCACTTGGGAAACAGTCTGCGCACCGGTCAGACAAAAAGAAAGCGTTGTGCAACAACCAATTCACTATCGAAGCGATCTTCCTTCAGATCCGGTGAAATCTAGAGTGTCATCCACCAACAAATGTATACGTGCTACCGATGCGGCGAGATGCATGCAAAGGTTACTGATTGCAGACACAAACAGTCTACTTGTCACAAATGCGGAAT